GAAGTAGCTAATATTAAGTAGCTATAGAAGGTATAATAAATATACTAGTATATAAAGAGCTATAATTTTATTCTTCTTATAGTACTACTAGAATTTAATAGAGCTATAGCTTTTATAGCTATTTAAAATTAGTAGATAATATATACCTATAACGTAACTCTTAGTATACGCGTTAAAGTGCTTTAACTACGTAATACTAACTTTATTTATTATCTAGCTACTTTTAGAGATAGCTATAACCTAGTTACGTAGTAGCTAGCTACCTTTATACTACGCTAAGAGGTAGTTCTTACTTATAATAATAAGAAATAGTAGAACCTATATATTACCTACTACTCTTACTATTATAATTACTAAAATCTACTTATAATTATCTAGTTAAAGGCTTTTTAGTTATAATCGTCTCTTAGAGCTAGTAACTACTACCTAAGGTAATATTATTTCTATTATAAAGCTAGATTTGTTAAAATTATACGTATCTTTATTAGTAATACTATACTTTGCCTTTATATTACCTACTAGATTAAACTACGCCTAAATAATTATAGAATCTTCTTACTTTACTCTCTAATAGTTATACTTATAATTAAGCTACGTTTTAAGCTTAGAATAGTATATAATAAAGTTATTTAGCTAGTTCTTACCTATAACCTTTTCTCTCTACTTAGTAAGTAGCTAATTAGCTATATCTTAAATAGTAGTAAGCTAGAGAGTAAATTCTTATATGTCTAGGTTAAGTATATACTTAACTATTACCTACTCTTTATTTATAGTAAGCTTTATTAAATTAGGTATCTTTTTATATTATAGAGTAACTTTATAGTATTAATAGTAAACTTTCTTTTACTCTACGTTATAGAGAGCTATAGCGCGCTATAAGCTTAGCTCTAGATTCTATTAAATAGTCTAGAGCGTAAGCTATATCTAGAATTTATCTAAAGTTAATTAGACGTTTATAAAGAGCTTTATAATAGAGATAGTAGTATTTAGTAGAGGCTTAGTATTTTTAGGTTGTTTATTTATATAATATGTTTATTTATAAAGTACGTTACTATAAATTATAAGTTATAGTAGTAATTTAATAGATAAAATAATAACTATAAGAAGTTATAAAGAGTAAGCTCTTTCTAGTTATATATATATACTATCTTAGCTAGATTAGGTATCTAGATCTAGCTCTTGTAAATCTCTTAAATCTAGGTCTAATCTATAGATTAGACTCTAATTCTCTTAATTCTTCTAATCTATATTACGTAACTCTAATAACTTCTATAATTCTATACGTAATCTCTTATTCTATAACTTTAAGCTTAGCCTACTATTTTCTTTATTCTAGCTAGCTAACTCTATTATTAATCTATAATTATAATACTTCTTTAAAGCTACTTTATACGCGCTACTATAGTATTCTTTCTATACGTTAATATTTATATATATGTTAACTAAATAGCTTTACTAGTAACGTACTTTATAAATAAACGCTCTATACAAATAAACGCTCTAAAAATACTAAGCTAGAAAAATTAAAAGGTTTTTCTTAAATAACTAAGCAAAACCTTAATATTCTTCTATAAAATTTTAAATATATATAGAAGTATACTATATATACTCTCTATTAAATTTATACTATATATTTCTTATTTTCTAAGCTAGAAGTAAGCCTTTTTCTAAAAGTAGCTATTCTTTAGATTTAAATCTTAATAGTACTAGTAAACCTTAATAATAAACTATAAAACTTTAAAGATATATTATAAACTATAGTGTAAAGCCTTTTATAAAGTTTTATAGTACTTAGCTTAGTAATACTAGAGATATTAGCTTAAAGAGTCTCTAATAAGTAGTTTAGAGATTTCTTCTAGAAATAGATAGATATTACTAAGCTAGACGCTACTAAACCTTATAAAAGGCTTTATACTATACTATATAATATATATTTAAAGTTTTATAGTTTATTATATAGGTTTACTAGTACTTATAAGATTTAAAGTTTAAGAATAGCTACTTTTAGAAAAAGGCTTACTTCTAGCTTACGTAATAATAAATATATAGTATAAATTTTAAAGAAGGTATATATTATATTGTTTAATATATATTTAAAATTTTATAGAAAAATATTAAGGTTTCGCTTAACGTACTTCACCACCGAACGCTCTACACCACCGAACGCCCCACGATTTCTTGGCAAGGAAAATTAACGAAAATTAACAGGTTTTTCTTAAATAACTAAGCAAAACCTTAATACTTTTCTATAAAATTTTAAATATAGAT